ACAGTCCAGACATTATTGGCTCAAAGCTATTACTGTGGACCTGAATCCTGATAACATTGATTTTCAAGCGTATTTATAGGCTATAAACCCAGAAAAGTCACTTTATCTATACCCAGTTAGAATTTTGCCTTTCCTCCCACTTTGAAAGGCAGATCTTCATGCCATGCCATTAAAAGCTTTTCAACTCCCCTGGGTTTCAAAAGCTATTTGCCAAGCTGAGTGGGAGTCACTATTCAAGAAACACACCCTAAACCCATTGAGCCTGCAGAGACAGTCATGCTTTTCTCAACAGTGTCCATAGATATCAATGAATGCAGTCATTCAGGTAGTCTGCTAACAATGAACAGCTAAACTACAATGTTGTATCCAGATAATAAAATAAAATGGTTCCATTGATTACAAGCAGATCAGAATCCTCCATTAAATGCGTTGAATAGCAATGGCCACTAAATGGTCTGTGAACATCCACCAGTGTGGCATAAAGTTAGACATATTAATTTGGAAGGAATCCCACTATTCCACAGTGGCCTTTATTTCTGAAATGTTGTTCTATAGCCTCCTACTTGGCCTATTATACTTCATTGTCAGAAACATCTGCAGTTTTCAGTCTAATGGTCCACAAACAAACAGTTTACAACAATGAAGGGGTGAAAACGCAAGCAGCTTGCATTTGAATGTGTGGTTGGGGCTAGGAAAAGAAGTGGAAGTGGAATTAATCCTGCTGGTTTCATACATCATGATCTATATCTCTCTCTCTCTCTCTCTCTCTCTCTCTCTCTCTCTCTCTCTCTCTCTCTCTCTCTCTCTCTCTCTCCCTTTCTCTCTCTCTCTCTCTCTCTGTGTAAAGTGCTGTCAGGTTGCAGCTGACTTATGGCAACCCCAACAATGTCTTTCCAAGGCAAGTGAGAAGCAGAGGTGATTTACTATCATCTTCCTCTGCAGAGTCTTCCTAGGTGCTCACCCTTCCAAGTGTTGACCCTGCTTAGCTTCTTATGTCTGACAAGAGTGAGCTATACCATGCTGCCTTCTCTCCCAAGAACTATAACTACCGCTCAGCATTTATGTCAGGCTCAGCCATGCTGAGGATGTTCCTAACAGGGATGTCTTCATCACTGCAGAAAATCCCCTTGACAGAAATTCATTGCCAAACCTTTGTTTCATTGTTTTGGGACACAGAGGAATAATTCTATCACACATTAGCAAAGAAAACTCAATGAGTATAAATGGAGTAAACCAAGCCAAAGAGGATAAGGGAAACAGAAGAAGCCTCAGGGCTGTGAAAAAGATCAATGTGAGAAGAATGAGTGATGGGTGACAATGGGGAGCTGTTGAGAGGATTTGAAAGGCCATCTGAAACTGGCATTTGGAAGAAACTCAAATTGTGGCTGGTTTTCATGGTTTCCATTCTACTGTGAGCTTCTGTCTCCCACTCCTTTCCTTCCAGCCTGCTTTCGTTTTCAATACAGTGTAATATCTGTTTCCCTAGGGCATTCACTCTGGCCCCATGGCATATTAGGATTGCCACTCCACTTTGCCAGCGGTGTTGCTGTGCCTTGAACAGTGACATGCCAGGCACAACTTCAGGACATGAAGCCTTCCACATTACTGCAGCTCAGCACTAGAAGGAAGCTTTATTTGGTGAACTGCTGACTGTCACAGAGTGGTTAAAGCATAAACAGCCCAATGCAAAAAGTGGCAATAGTACTGCAACACATAGCCATTGGATTTTTAACCCATTCACAATGGAGAAAATGTCTGAGAATATAAATTGGGTTAGATCCAGGCCTCGGTTCCTGCCGGAGTGCACCGGAGCACCGCTCCACCAGTCAGGAGCCCAGGGGGCGGGCACATAAGCCTTGCCCTCTGCTCCCATGAACCATCAGTTGAGCAACTGTGGGGGGCCGAAACGTTCCCCTGCCTCCCTGAGCCCTGGGGTGGTGGCCTTGGACTCGTAGGGGTCATTCTGGCTCCCCCAGCTCTCCTTAGAGGCTCTTTAAAAAGTTATGGCAGCTGTGACGCCCACGTGGGGGGATGGGGTGAAACTTTCTCCTGCCTCCCTGAGCAGCTTTGGCAGCCTTGGACTTGAAGGGGCAAATTCCACCTCTTGCGAGAGGTCACACTCAAGAGGTCATTCTGGCTCCCCCAGCTCTCCTTAGGGGCTCTTTAAAAAGTTATGGCTGCCGCTGCTGTTCTCGGCGCTGCTGTGACGCCCGCGCGGGGGACGGGGACGGGGCGAAACGTTCCCTTGCCTCCCTGAGCCTCAGGATGGTGGCCTTGGACTTGTAGGGGCAAATTCCACCTCTCGCGTGTGTCACACGAGAGGTCATTCTGGCTCCCCCAGCTCTCGAGAGGGGCTGTACTGATCTGTAATGTTCCAGAGGTGTTGTAATGTAATATTCAGTTTCTCAAATGAGTGTATGCCTGTCTGTTGGTCCTCTTAGGAGTCTTGATCCTGTGATAGGGTCTCTCCAAGTGATTGTCAGAAGTGAGATGCATCCTGGTCTTGTGTCTTACAGATAATCTTACAAGTAGTCCTTTGCATTTATATCATGCTTTCAACTTTAAAAGGATCATAATGCTTAGGCAAACCACGAGAGGTAGAGCAGGAAGGCTTGCATCAGTGCTTAGTTCTTGTGGCCCTTTCTTACATGCCCAGGGAAATGTTGATCGCCACTTTGGGGCCGGGAAGCAGTTTTTCTCCAGGCCAGTTTGGACCCCAGTGATCCTGGAGTTTTTTTTAAATCATATTCTGGGCGTGGAACAGGGGTCCACTGGGGTGTGGGGGGGTATTGGTGAATTTCTTGCATTGTGCAGGGGGTTGGACTAGATGACCCTGGAGGCCCCTTCCCACTCTATGAGTCTATGATTCTATAATTCACCCAGGCTGGCTGTGGGCATGCCAGCACCTCTGTCAGGCAGAAGCGCCTGAGATCCTCCCCCTCCCCTTTTCCTTCACCCGACTTGGAGGCGAAGGGAAGGGAGAGGGGAGAAAGAATGGATCCCAGGTGCTTCTGCCTGTCAGAGGGGCTGGTGGACACTTCCGGTGATGTCAGGGGATGTGGCATATGCTAATAAGTTATGCAAATGAGTTCCTGCAGCTCTTTTTCTACAAAATGGATCTAACTTAGATCCATGCAGAGTTTGACATGAAGTACAGAAATGGTGTGATTACTGTTATGATTATTGGATGTATATTTAACCCTGCCTGAACTGCCACTTCACTGTTACTTCTGGCAGCTTTGCAATCACAGGACTGCTTCATCTCATGCCACTTTATGTGAAGAACCACTTGCCTTGGGTGTCTGGCATTCTGGCGGTGCCCCTCCGCTCTACTTCCAGTAGTCTCAGAGGGCAGGCAGCTTCTGTCAGTCATCTGTTGACTGATAGAATCAGCCTGCCATCTGAGATTTGTAACAAAAATTCAGTATGTTGTTAATGATAGGAATTCCCAGATGGGTGCGAAAACTAGACAGACGGAGGTGAAATTATACCAGGAGCTGCAGCAAATGCTGTAGAAAACCCAAGGGAAATATACCTGCAACACAATCAGAGCTATACAGGCTCTCTCTTTCTGGCAATGTGTTGTCTGGAGAATGGTTCACCCCACCCCCACCCCCACCTGAGAGAAGCCCTGGGACAATGCTGAAAGGATTGGTTTCCTTTGGATGAGAGGGGGGGGGGGTTTCCTTTGGACTGGAAATCTATGGTGTCTTTACGTAGGACAGACATATTTAACGATATGCAAGCAAATCCCAAAGGAAAACAGCAGACTTAAAAATTTGCATCTAACTGGTGCAATGCCCCCTTCTTCCCCCTCCAGCCCACCCCCTTCTCCCTGGCATAACAAGCTTCAGCTGAAACCTCTGATCCTGCCTCCAGACTCAAAGTCAAAACTGTTTCCCAGAGTTGGAAGTGTATCAAAGTCTGTAGGCTGGAAAGAGAGGGAGACTGATGGTTATCTATCTGTCTGTCTATCATCAGTGTGGTGCAGTGGTTAGAGTGTTTAAATCCCTACTTGCCTCCTGGGTGATTTGGGACTAGCCACCTAACTTGCCTCAGGGGTTAGAACAGAGCAGGGCGGAACCCTGGGAGGCGCCCTGAGCACCTGGGAGGAAGGGCAGGAGAAAAATGCCCTGGATCGTAATCGCGCACCCCGCCCGCCCATTCATCAGTTGTCTCACCTGATGGCGCTAGGCGCTCATCAGCGAGCAACTGCACCCTTCAACTTTTCAGAACCCAGGGAACGGACAGAGCCAGAGACTGGCGGGAGAAGGACGGCGTCTGCCTTGTGAGGAGCCTCTGGGGCCAGGGAAGGGGCTGGCGACGCGAGAGAGTTACTTTCAGCACCAGCTCCTGCCTTTGTGCTACCTGCGAGCTCGCCCTCCGCCCGCCTGAGCGGAGGCCGTAAATCGGGGCAGCAACCCTCTGGCAGCCGCGGGAAGCTTCTGAAGAAGAGCCGGGAAGGACGCGGCTGAACTTTGTTATTATTATTTTTGCGGGGGCGGGGGCGGATGCAGGGAGGCGCGGGCTGAAGGCGGGGGACGCAGCCTAGCCACTGCGCCAACCTGCTGGCTACCGGGAAATCGATGGAACAGGGGAGGGCGCGCGCCCCTTCTTGTCCGCCGCGTGCGCCCCTCCCTCCAGCTCTGTGCGCGCGAATGTGTGCCTGCCCCCCTCCCGCTCCCCGCCAGTGCCGCAAGAAGCCGGTTTGCGCGGCGCTCGCGCCGGACTGCAGCTCTGCCCAGGCAACAAGCGATCCTCTTCGGCGCTTTCTTTCCCCCTCCCTCGCCTCGGACGCCGCCGCTCCTTGGCGTGGCTCTCCCTCCGCGGCCCCTTTCCTTTGTTTCGAACCCCACCCCGGTGGCCGCCGTTCCCGGGGGCTCCCTGCCGCCGCCTCCTCCTCCTCCTCCTCGGGGTTTCTTCTTTGGGCTCCTTGAGGGGGGTCTCCTTCCTTTCGGGGTCCCGCCGGGGTTGCCTGGACTGTGCCTTGTCATGTCAAGATGGAAGGGAGGAGCGACTGGCTCGCCTCCTCTTCCCGCCATGAAGGCTTCGAGCAGATGAGGCTGAAGAGCAGACCCAGGGAGCCCTCGCCCAGCCTGCCCAGAGTGGGCCCCAACTTCTACAGCGCCGTCAAGCAGCAGGACTACAGTGCCAGCGTCTGGCTGAGGCGGAAAGACAAATTGGAGCATGTAAGCCACTTTTTCTCTCTCGCTCGCTCTTGCGCTTGACCGCAAGCATCTCATTCATCATTTTAGTCATCCGCACCACAGCCCTGCTGGGCAGGTGTAGAACAGAGCCGTGGTGCCAATGGGGAGCTGGGGAGAAGCCAGAAGTTCTTGACCACTCAGAGCATTGTGGGTTAAGTAGGGCTTTGCACCCTGGACTCCTTGTGGTGCAAACCCAATGGAATACCAATGGCTCTCTGCCTGACTCAACCTAGTGTCCATCTCCAAACTTAAGGAGGAATAACAACATGTGGTATTCCTTTCAAGTGGGTGACCAGAAAGACACCTCAGGCTGCAGTCCTGTGCACACTGACTTGGGAGTAAGTCCCACTGAAATCATTGGGGCTTGCTGTCAGTTAAACATGCAGACCATTGATCTGTAACAGTTGTAGAGCAAAGTTGGCTTCTTAAGGCTAGCATGAAATCCAAAAGATTTAAACCTCCATATCTGATACTTCTGTATTTAGACATGTTTTGTTTCCCATTGTTACATATTTGTGTGTTGTGTGGGCTTAGTCTCCCGCCAATTTCACATTTCAATAGTGCCTGTACCTGAAAAGAACAAATTCTTTATGGCTAACTAGTGTACGTTTTATGATCTTGCAGAATCCCACTATAAACTAATGCATGTTGGAACAGTGTGGTGTTTAAGAAGATAGGAGTGTCTTTAAGTTTGCAGTTGTTTCATTCCATATTTCTAATGGAGAAGTACAGACATTTTTTAAAATTATTTTTGACAACGTTTTTCCTTCCCATTTCCTGTGTGGGATTTTAAAGTGGTGTGAAGTAGATTTCCTTCCAACATCAATTTCTGCAGCAGCAATATGTGACTTAACTAAGTGATGTTGGGACCAGGGAAAACTGCAGATGTGGCTGACTGCAATGAATATTTTATGCTTTTTAAAAGGTGCTTGGAAGTATTCCTTTGATTCATGCATTTCAAAGTAATGGGATGTGTTTCTTCTTATGTCATTTCTAACATTAAGGAACTGGATCAATGACATCTTGGGTTAGAATTTTCTGAGTATTAGAGGAATTCCTTAATTACATTTTCTCTCTAGCCCCAAATATGAAATTTGCTGTATGCATATAGGGAGGCAAAAAAGTATTGTAATGTAGCAGATTTGTTTAAGAAAATGGATAACTACATACCATTCAAAACTGACTTTGTGACAATGGATAAAATTGTGCTTTTTATACTCTTCCTCAAAGAATAAACTACTTTAAAGATATGCCACTTGAAGAAAATCACTATACGAAAGCAAATTCTTTTATTGCATGGAACTTAGTGACACCTTGCTAGGAACTGAAACAGTGCCAAATGATGTAATCTAAAACAGTGCAAGATTCAGCAGTGCAATAACTAAAGAAGAGAAAGTGCTATGTTTCCTGGCTACAATACAATAAATGACTTTTTATTTTGGAGTGGGTGTTAAAAGAATGAGTTGTGTAAATGTGGCAAGCATTTATAAGTAAGATTTAGTTGAAGTTCTAGAAATAAAATTATAAAGAAAGGGAAACTCTTACAATATTCTAGAAGTACTGATTCCAGGTTGCTTTACTACTGTACATGTCTATCTCACTTCAGCAAGGACTCTCAATATACTGGCCTTTGTTTTAAGAAACTGAATTTGTTTTAGGGATCAGTTTTCTGAAATTCAGCTTTTCCTTAAAGCTCATGTATATTGACTGACATTAGCAGATCCTTTCTATAGTCTATACATAGTTAATAGCAACAGAACTGAAGTAGCAAAACAGGTTTGTTAAATCAAATCTGTTACAGAACCTAGTACCTTCTCATGGCTTTATTGTTTTAATCTATTTGGATTTATACTCTTCTGTATCTGAGGTTCTGAAAGTGGACAGAAATTTATGAATGTAAATACTGTAAAACAAAATTAAGAACTGTTTGTAAAACTGTTTGTAGTATGAAGACCAAATGAAAAGATAGGTGCCTCTAGAAGACAACTTTGGTCTTTGACAAGAACTTGTTAGCTAGAAAATTAAGTGGAGAATTTTTTATTTGCAGTGCAATCCTTTGTAGAGTTATTCCACTCTAAAACCATTTAAATTAATGGTCTTAGACTAGGTAAATATCTATAGGGTTGCACTGTTAGCCTGTAATCTTTGTACACTTGGGAGCAACTTCAAATATACTAATGTTTGTAAACATGCATAGGTTTGATGTAAAAGTTGTTATGTTACAAACAGTATAGCAAAGCCTTAAATGAACAAGTTCCATCTGAATTCAAAGAAGCAAAATTCCAACCCAATAATAGGCATAATTATTCATGCAAGTTTACTCTGAAGTAAGTACACAGGATTGCAACCGTAGTTTAACCTTACATACCAGTTTAAAAATTGGACTAGACTAGGTAAGTATCCATAAGGTTGCACTGTTAGCCTGTAATCTTTGCACACTTACTTGGGAGCAACTTAAAATAGACTAATGTTTGTAAACATGCATAGGTTTGATACCTTCTCATGGCTTTATTGTTTTAATCTATTTGGATTTATACTCTTCTGTATCTGAGGTTCTGAAAGTGGACAGAAATTTATGAATGTAAATACTGTAAAACAAAATTAAGAACTGTTTGTAAAACTGTTTGTAGTATGAAGACCAAATGAAAAGATAGGTGCCTCTAGAAGACAACTTTGGTCTTTGACAAGAACTTGTTAGCTAGAAAATTAAGTGGAGAATTTTTTATTTGCAGTGCAATCCTTTGTAGAGTTATTCCACTCTAAAACCATTTAAATTAATGGTCTTAGACTAGGTAAATATCTATAGGGTTGCACTGTTAGCCTGTAATCTTTGTACACTTGGGAGCAACTTCAAATATACTAATGTTTGTAAACATGCATAGGTTTGATGTAAAAGTTGTTATGTTACAAACAGTATAGCAAAGCCTTAAATGAACAAGTTCCATCTGAATTCAAAGAAGCAAAATTCCAACCCAATAATAGGCATAATTATTCATGCAAGTTTACTCTGAAGTAAGTACACAGGATTGCAACCGTAGTTTAACCTTACATACCAGTTTAAAAATTGGACTGAAATGCAAAGTATATAATTTGCAATGATATTTTTAAAAAACCTTACAAATGATCTGTTTCAGATTGATGTATTACTTGTTTTAATTGTACCCTAATAATTGATGCTGCTAAGATCATAATACTATACCTTTAGATCAACTCTCATCAGAATACACAGATAAATATACAATGTTTAGAACTTATCTATGTACAGCTTGCGTTTCTTATGCCTATTCTGTGTCATGCATGTTCCAGATGTTTCTGTAATATGTAGTATATGGTGACTGCATCCCCGGCTAACACTGAGCTACATTTTGGTGTCATACCCAAAAGGAATAGTGGTGAACCTTTTTAATGGTACCCCCCTGGATTGGCCAGCTTGGCTTGGGGGTAGGGCTAACTTCTTAAATAATTAAGTCCCCTCCACCTTGTAGTTGTCTGAAGACACCAGAGGGAGAAGATCAAAACCAAGTATGCGACATCATCTGTAGAACCACTCATTAATATATGAAAGCTGTAGTTGAGACAACCAACTGATTGGGACCTCCCCACAACAGTGATGGGACTGGTAAGACACCCTGAGATGTTTGAGACATGGGTAATTAATGCCTACAGCTTATACACCAAGTTAGAGCTATGATAAAAGATTATCCAAGACTTTAGGTATACCTGGAGCAAGGTACGTTATGGAGTGTTGATGATTTGGGGCATTCTTTTCCTCCCCCCATAGGGCTTGGAGGAAGACAGGAAATCTTGGAGCAGGTTCTGGCTGTTGTAATTGTACAGGCCACAGTGTCATTGTGTTTATGGTGAAGCTACTGATGATGCATTGCTCTGTAAATAGAAGACATGGAAACTGGTGGGTTTCAAGGAGTTGCTGACTCTTGCATACAAGAGCAGGAACAAAACTGATACAATAGTGATTTTGCAGTCTTCATGTTATGAGAACAACAATTTATGTAGGTGAACAAGCTATAACTTAGAGTTACACGTAAATACATTTGCAGCAACAAGTTAGACCTTTTGTGCAGCATTGTGGTTCCATGCACACAGAGGATGGGCCCTTCCATTGACATGGGAAGATCATTATGGCCCTTGCAATACAGAGATACATTTTTGTACCTGCAGTGGAGGATCCCTGGGAGATAGATACATCCCTCTACTTCAGATGAAACCCCCCCCCATAAATCATGCTCAGAGTAAGCTATTTTCAGATTATTTGGATGATTTATTGACCTGACAGATTTTAGTTTTGTCAGTATATAGCTTGCAATATGCTTATTGAATTGTGGAATCAATATATATTCAATAGAAGTACTTATAAATTTAGGCTTGCTACATTTGGAAATCGTATCAAAATATGCATGGAATATGCATTATTTAGTGATTTGGATTTTTGCTGTTCTATTCTGTGAGCGCAACATATTTGATACTAAATGGTGAAGGAATAAAGTTAATTATCCATGAAAGAGCATAATATGTTTTGCCTTTAGCAAACTCATTGCTGTAGTAACATTTCATAGTGAAATTGCATCTTTCCACTTTCATGGAATATTGTTCTCCCATTTTAATAATCTAGAAAATGCCTACATATTGTAGGCATGAGATACATGCACAAGCATGCACATCTATGTCTAAAAACTTGCCTGTTTGCTATCAGTCCTCATCAAACCATAGGATGAGATGCTGTAATCCTCTGCTGTGGTTCTTGTGAACATTCTAATTGCTCATGCAGAACCAATCTGGGAGTTCTGGGCAGCCTAGGAAGCCCAGCAAGACCAGCCTCACGAATACATAGGAACAAGGATATGGAACTCAGAAGCAGATTGGTTGAAACAAGGAACAGAATAGACAGCAGGGACAGAATTATAGCTCCCAAAGAGTGATAGAGGCAAAGGTCCAAGAGAAAGAAGGAAGCTGTCATTGCAAAG